GAGTGAATGAGAGAGAATCGAAATGAATGGGAATGTGATTGGTTGTGATATTGGAGTTGGATTCGATTCGATTTCAGCAATTCAACACTGAAAATGAAAACAAATGAATGAATGAATGAGTAATCCTACAAACATCGATTTGAATTGAGTCCATACTGTGATTATGTATATTTTGTACCATAAGAATGAATGATGGATTGTTGACAAGGAAATATCGTTAAATCTGTATAAAGTGGACCAATAATGTGAATTGCAATGGGATATTTGAATGATTATACGATCAAATCAATGAATGAATGAATGATATCTTATCTAAGAATTGATTGACAATCTCAATACACTACTCACAACCAATGATCTGTAAATCAGTAACAAGGATCTCATTCATTCATTCATTCAATCAATCTATTCTATTCTGTTCTATTCTATATTCATTCATAGTATCATATTTGATTCACTTTGGTTTGGATGGCTGATTGAATGATTGAATCAACCAACAAATCATTGAATGAATGAATGAATGAACAAAAGATTCTCTCTCTGTGGAGTGATTCACAAAACAACAAAGACCTTTATCACAACCAATGAACTGTAATTCTGCATCAATAATGTCATCGATTCAATCATTCATTCAATCATTTGTTCATGCTTTTATGACTGTTTAACGCATGATTGATTGATTGATTGATTGATTGATTGATTGAATCGATGTCTATTCTGTATACTCTTTCATAATATGAATCTATCAAACAACAAAGCAAATAATAACAATAATAACGACAATGAATTCGTTAAAATGGCACAGCAACAATAATAACAGTAATATAAATCAATGAGAATAATAATAAGACTATGTGTTCAAAAGCAATGTCTAGAACAGAAATGAAATGAAATGAAGTAATGAGCAGCAACAACATAATAGGAACGAACAATAACATGAGTAATAATCCAAATGGATGAATTGTAGCTCAATGCAGTGTCCGATATCGAATCAATACCAAATTGATGGAGAACAAACAATGTGTATGTGAATAACAAGCAATAATGAGAATAATAACAGTAAAAGGATTAAGAATAAGAATATCTGAGAACAATCCATAGCTATTGATGATTAATAATAATAGTAATCATCATAGAAAGAGATATTGAAACAATCATATGTGTAGTTTAATAAAGAAATAAGGAAAGAACCAAATCCATGATAATAATAGTCATATTATTAGTAATATGAGTCTTATTATTATAGATCAATCAATCAATCAATAATACTTACTGATCGATTCTGAATAATAGATCAATTAGATTGTTATGTGGAATGATCGAAATGAAGAACAAACTCGATATGTGAAAACAAACAAATACCAAGAATGCATATCAATTTCAAACAATCCACATAATTGAATGAATCTATGTGAATCGATTCAGATTTAAATATAAATGAAGAGAAGATCATTTGATTGTCGGTTTGCATGGAAAGATTGATTGTTGTCATGAAACATCAATCGGATTGATTTGAAATGATTTCGTATTGTAGGTTCTGATTATTGATTAAATCATTTGGTAGATTGTTTGGTCCATTGCTTACTACAACTATAACTACTACTATTATTGTTGTTGTTGCTGTGGATGTTGTTGCTGCTATTGCTACTTCTCTCTCTTTCTCCCCTACCATTCATTCATTGATTCCAAACCATCAAAATCGATAACAATATTCCTTGTCAACAAAAGAAGAAATGGAATCAATGAAAGCAAAGAATCAAGTGTTTCCTTTATGACAATCAATGATCCATTAATCTATGAATGAATGAGTGAGTAATGAAGGAAAACAGAATGAATGAATAAATGAATAATAAGGAAAAACAATAATATGTATGTCATATGATATCGGATACTGGAAGGTAGGGGAGAAAGATGGGATGATGATGATTCAACTTCATTGATACTTCGAAGTAACAATGAATTGATTGGTTATGATTTGCTTTGGATCTTCCAAGTCTAGCATCACTAACTTCTGTATAATGGAGTTTCTGTTGTCCTCGTTTTGGTGACATTGGAAAGTGGATCTAAATATTGAATAGAGATGGTAAATAGATATTCCAAATCTGTTTCAAAATGTCAATCTACTTGTATCATTGGTGTATGTTCAATCGAAATCGATTCGAGTATTGTTGATAAATAGAATGGAATTGATTTCATATGATTTTCATAGATTTCAATTCCATTTGGTAAGTTTAAGCTTATCTTATCTTGTTAGGTGATTTGATTTGATTTGATTCATTGTGTTTCATTCGATTCCGTTTGATCATTTGATTTGATTTGATTTGATGTGATTTGATTGGTTTAATAGGAACATATATCGATTGATTATGATTGGAACAATTCTATCTGGTTCATTTTACAATGATTTGTGGAATTTGTATTGTTGTTTCAAACTGATGGCACATGATTGACTCGATTATTGGTTAAAATGGATATATAATAATAATGATGATGATGATAAACATAAAACAAACAGAAATAAGCAAAACAAAACATGGAACAGTCCAAACAAATAATCACATATTTCCTTATGAGAATTGAATCAATAAGAATCGACACAATCCAATTTGTCTGGTGGATAGTGAATAATAAGATGAATGTTAGAATATAAAAAAGGAATAATTAAGAAAAAGAAAATACAAAACAGAAAAACTAAAAACAAATTAGAATCATATAATACAAAAGAAAAAGACAGAGGAATAAAATGTACAAATGTAAGAAAATAAGAAACAAAGAAAACTAAAGAATAGCAAAACAAACAAGAATAAACTAAAAATCAAAATCGAAAATGAAATAATAAAATGAACTACAATCAATTCCAAAAGTTGAAAAACAACAACAACAAATGAAAAATGGGATAATCAAAAATAGATAAGCAACATCAAAACAAAAACAAAAACAAAAACAAAACAAAAGAACAATGAATCATTGAGTATTATCCAAATTAATACTATCTCAACACACAAATATGGATTGTGTCGATTCCTATTAATTCAATTGGATTAAGTGCAATGAATCTTGTCAAAACGATTCGATTGAAGTCGTTCGATCAAGATTCATTCGAAATATGTGATTTGTGGATTCATCGGTGTACAATCACAAACAGCATATTGAATATACAATCAAACAATGGATTCCAAGAAAGCCCATTATCGAAATACTCATATTCAAACCACAACACAAATGGTTCTCACAATATGCCTCATTATTGTATTGTGATTATCAAATGCTGATTCCATATTGACTTGTTCGAATGGGATCTAATGATTTGAATGATATCAATAATAATGATAATGATAATGATAATAATGATCAGAAAAAAAGAAAGAAAGAATGAAAGAAAGAAAGAAATAAGAGTATTGTTATGCAATACAGTACAATGATAGATTCCAGCTAAACCAATGATCGAACATAATGATTTCATGAATCTCGATTGATTCAATTGCAAAACAACCATTGAGACTACAATGTGTTTGAGTGATTGTTCCATTTGGATTCGATCGAATCAATTGTATAATTCTATCAGTCGATTGGATCGCTATCAATGAATCATTCGATCGATTCTATATCATTGATAATCGAACAAATACAAATACAAATACAAATACTACTACTACTAATAATAATAATCACGAGGATTGATGGTTGAATACTCATCATCAATCTGATTCTGATTCTGATTCTGATTCTGATTGATCGATCCTATCCAATCATTCTATTCATGATCAACAACACCAAAGTGATCTAATGGTATTCAATATGCTGAAATAGACCGATGAATCATGTGGATGATGATACAATCATAATGATAATGATAATGATGATGATGAATGGAAATCGAAAACTAACCAAATACACACCATTCATTCAATCATTCATTCAATGGATCAATGGATTGAACAGCCTTTCTATTCTTATCAGTATTATTGAGTGTGAATGATGGATTGATTCTTTACGATATTCAACATTCATTTGCATTTTGAATCAGCTATCTTTCATCCATTGATTGATTGATTGAATGAGTGGTTTGTGTGATATTGAAGAATACGACATTCCATCCAAATATCGAATTGTGAAACCACGATTGATATTACTACGAACTACAACTATCAAGTATCAAACACATCCGATTTGATTCCATTATTATCAAATTGATAAATCCATGTTTTGTGACTCATTGATAAACAAACAAACAAACAAACAAACAAACAAACAAATGATAGATAGTTGGATTGACTGAATGGTGAATCCAATATGATTTCCAATGCTATTCAATCGGATTCTATTCTATTCTATTCTATTGTAGTTTCATTGCCTTGTTTTATCCATTTCACCTCTATTCTATTCTATTCTATTCTATTCTATTCTATTCTATTCTATTCTATTCTATTCTATGTATACAGTGATCGATTCCTATTCAATAAGTCAAAATCAATATCCTAATTCAATATCAATCATTGTATTGTATTGTATTGTATTGTATTATCTACCGATTTAACAATGGATTCACAAATGTGAATAATCATCCAATATCAATCGATTCCATCCATTCCATTGTGTCACTATCAAATCCAATCTTATTATTCATGATTATTATTATTATTTTGATTATTCGAAGCAAGCAGTTTCCTATCAATATTGAACAAATCCTAGTTCAAACCTATTCAAACCATCATTTGTATATTATTATTATTATTATTATTTGTAGATTGGATTCATCATTTGTGAATGTTCAATATGTGATCATTGGGTCATTGGTAATAATAACGATAATGATGATAATGATCGAAAACAATGATTGATTGATTGAAACAACAATCATAATTCAGTATCATTGTTAAAATGGTAAAGAAGAACATCATAATAATCAGGCAGGATTGATATTTTGATAATTATAGAATCATGAATTGTGATCAAGAATCGGTTTCAAACAAACAATCAAACAATCAATCAATCAATCAATGGAAATGTTCCTAAACAATGACGAATCACTGAACAAATCAAATCAAATCAAAATTATGGATTTAATGCTTGATTTAGTGGACAAGATTAGCGAGAATGGAAGAAACATCTATGAATCAAATCAAATCAATCAAACTATACTCGAAATTGATTTCGATCGAACTTTATCGAATGAAGGAAATAGATTGACATTTCGAAGATTTGGAATATCTAAATACTATCAATATTCAATATTCAGAAATACTTTCTAATGTCACTACACGAGGATAAAAGAAGCTATATCCAACAGATGTTATTGATGTTAGATTTGGAAGATCTACAAAACAAATCATTTAACATGAATTCATTATTACTTCGCATTATCAATGAACAAGATTCATTCCAATTTCTTCCTTCAAGTGCATTATAACCAAGTTGAATGGATTGTAATGATGGAAGATCTACAACAATCATTTCATTCGAATTCATTCAATACTTTCAATTATTGTTGAGAAGGAATAACGGAATGCACGATCACCTAATGTAATGGATTGTAGATTTGGAAGATCTAGGCATCATTCAAATATTCAATATCATATCAATACCTCGAATCACAAATGAACAATAACTGAAATTCCATGATTGACTTCCAATTGTTCCAATTTGAATGGATTGTAATTGTGGTAGATTCTTCAATTCAAAGTCTCCAGCATAATCACTGAAACTATATTCACCAATTTGAATGGATTCCAATGATTTGCAATTCAATATGTGGAATGATTTCGATTCATCAATTCCCCATCCATTCTTTTTCTGCGTAAATGAATTGTCTCCGATTTTGATCGTTTTCAATCGATTCAATCTATCGATTTTGAATGTTTGCACTGATCCAAAACAATCATTGCCGATTTCGATCGATTCCAAATTATACAACAGTGAAACATCCCAATCAACCAATACACAATAGTCAATCAGTTTCAAATGTTTCATTCCGATATTCAGTGGTTTGCTTCCATCGCCTTCATAAATTTCTTCAATATCACATTCAATTCCATTATACCATTCACATTCATTCACTAATTTACCATATCGATCATACACTTTTCCAATTCCAAATCGATTATCATCACACCAATATCCTTCATATTCAATACATCCATTATTATGATAACTCGTTCCATATCCAAATCGTTTCCAATTGATCATTATGCCCTTGTATACCAATATTCCATCATCATCATACATTTCACCATATCCAAATGGAATTCCAAAATTGTTTTCTGTCAATACCAATCCTTCAAATCGACTTCCATGATCCAAATCCACGATTCCTTCTACTACTTCTATGGATTGTTCTTCATTATATGAAATAGCACCAATTTGATGATTTCCAAACACTTTCAACACTTTCTGCTCATTGACCACAAATCCTTGATTCATGAATACTCCATTATTGAATCGCAATACTACACATTCTCTATTACTCAATATGAGTGAAATCCAGCCATTTGGTTTCCATTCTTTACCCAAACATCCCTGCACACTTTGAATAATGGAACTATCAATACGATAGTTATTAATAGTAGAATTGACAAAATCAGCAATGTTTTGCATGGAAATAGGAAGAAATATGGTAAAACGGTTTTTTTGGAAACAAGATCTGTTTCATTATTTCTCGATAGAACACACGTCATGAATTATTGTGTATGGCTGTGATATGCTGGTATGTTAAAAACTAGAATACATATAATAAAATCTCATTTTCTCCACCCATTTCTATTTTTCTTTATTTCGGTGCATTTCCATCTATTCATTTTTTTTTGTGTTATATTTAGATACTTATAGCTATAATTGTAAATTATTACGCATTTTCATCACCTTTATTCTCTCATGTCAGAATGGCTGTTCTATTAAGTCTATAATGGATATATGTTCTTCAAAATATATCAATTATGTGGTAGTTAATCTTGTTTTGCAACAATCGAACTCACAATAGTGAATACTGTTGGAATGGTCAGATTCGTAATAGAGAGTATGGCAGTAGTATGTAGAATGCAAAATCCATCATTTCTATTTGACAAGTGGATTATTGTATTGATTCTCTGTTGATACTTCGATTCTCTTCTGTCACAATGATCATCCATATTGAGTACAAAGAATGATATTGCAGAGAAAGGATTGTGGTTCATAGAGTAAAATGGTGAATAGGAATCATAGTATCATTAAACAAAACAATCGATTGAATAATATGATGGATGGAATCCATGAATCCTATGAATGAAAACCTTGCTTTCTATTTGATCAACAAAACAATGTGAAATGCAATGTGATTAACATAGCAATAGTATTAAATAAACAAGTAATATTGAGTGAATGAATGAATGAATATGCCATCCATCATAGAGATCTCTTCCACTCACTTCCACTCCATCTTTCCATTCCACTTCGCGAGTAGCAATCCGAGTTTCTTCATCGATCCAGTATCCTCGACCATTTCGAAGAAACGATTCTTTCGATTCATCATAAATGAATTCACCCACATAGAGGGGAATTCGATTCGAAGCGATGGTGTTGTTACCACTTCGCTTGAACTCGGTCATGATAGTTCCCTCGATTTTGCGAATGATCTCCACCAGCTTGTTACCCTTCCATATCCCCTCGAGCAGCATGGCGACCCACGTTTTCCTTCGTCATATTGGATGCCCCATCCTTCTCGTTCTCGCTTCTCGTTAAATTCACCATGATATATCAGGTGATCACTCGCATGCGAATAGATTTCCATACGCTCGCCTCGGACATGGTTTATTATACGATGAAAATTCTGGTTGTCCCAGATTTCGTCAAATGATTGGACAAATGCGACGCATCCTTTTTCAAATCTGGTAAAGTCGCCGATTTCGCTCTCGTCTGCATCCACCTCGTAGTACATTTTCAGTATGCCATTTTGGAATAGGCAAACCTTCCCAGCTCTCGTCAACGTGTATTCATCCTCGTGATCGCCTTGATAATATTGGAGGCTATACTTGCAGCCTCCAATAGTGATTTCCTTTGCTTCACCATGCGTTATGTAACCGTCCAGGAGAAATTCGCTTCCCTTAAGTTCTTGCATTCTACCTATTTGGAATCACATATTCTTAGCCTCTACTCTTTGAATCCGTAATTTGTAGCCAAATATAAAGAATTTATGAAGAAAACAGAGAGATCAGTTTATTTCCTTACACCTAAGTATTCTTCATATTTAAAAATTATGATAAAGTGCTACCATATACACATTGGATCCAAGATTTCCAAGTGAAGTACTCACTTGTGTTTCGCATCATTTTGTTCACATTTTTGTGGTTGAAATAGTTCGGAGGTATAGATATTTATAATAATAGTATCAGGATTGTTTGGAAACACTCAAAATGGAAAAGTCCATTTTGTTGTCTACTATGTCTGTATAGGTTGTATATTTATGATATCATAGTGAAATCGTGTTATGAAGCAAGGATTTGGTTGTTCACTCCACTTTGTCTAAATAGTCTATATTATCATTATTATTATTCTTTCGATAATCCAATCTATCCATCCATGATTCTAGCCAAATCATTTTGACTTGGGACTGGTTGGGTTTGAAAGCAATTCAAACTAGTAAAACTAGTAAATCGAATCAAATGGAATGGAATGGAAATTGGTTTTGGTCCAGTGATTTTCACACAAAGAACCTATCTTCGCACATCGTTAACCATTCACTCCATTTTCTATCATTTCCTTATCCTAAACCAACCAACTAACTCTAAATACACTTTCTTTCTATCTTTCTTTCTTTGTTTCAACTATCAACTCACAGCACTCTATTACTATTATTGTTATTATCAACTAGAGTCGTTTGGTTCCTCGTTCTGGATTATTCTGTTCATGTTTCTAAATCATTCCAACACCCTACACACTCTAAATCTACATTTTCCTTCTTTCCTAAACACATTTTCGATTCTCATTCAAATCCTACAACGCTTCAACCATTCCACATCTCTACAATTCCATCCATCCATCCATCCATCCATCTTCCAAACCAAACACCGCAACCATTTCTCTCTTTCTCTCTCTCAGCAACTACCAAATCGGTCTGGATCGTGGAAACGTGGAAACATCGCGACCCACGGCGCACCAGGCGTGATCGACGAGGTGGGCGCGGATGAGCGCGCCGGTCACGTCGTAGGCGAAGAGGAGGCGGAGGCGGAGGCGGAGGCGGAGGCGGAGGCGGAGGGGCTGGGTGACGGAGACCACGGTGGCGTTCTGCGCCCAGTTGGACAGGAAGAGATCCAGAGAGCCCGGTCGACTCTGCACACCTTCGTAGGGAGCCACGGACCCCACCCCATCGCCCACCAGATTCCTGCTCACTCACACCCACACCCACACCCACACCCAGAGCGAACCGGTGAGCGAGGAGGTTGGCTCACCGTCCACCACCAACACCCAACGAATTCCGACGTGGCCATCGTGGACACTCCGAATTGCCTGCCCATCCACTCGGCACTGCCCACTTCGCTCGGGACGCACTCCAGCGTGTAGGAAGTCGCGGGGATCCCACCCTCCAACACGTCCCACACATCGCGTCCCGCGGGGAACCAGACGGTTCGGCGGAAGGAGGAAGGAGGAAGTGGCGGGAGCGCGAAGCTCGCACGTGGCGGTGCAGAGATCATGGAAGGATCCGGTAATCGCCATCGCACAGTCCCACTCAATGCCCTCCGCCTGATTCCACACACACCGCATACAGAACCGCGGGGATCTTCTCTTGGCGGGAGAGATACCCGTTGAACGCGGCCACGCTCAGATAGATGGGCGCGTGCTGCACGCTCTGCACGCTCTGCACGCTCTGCACGCTCTGCACGCTCTGCACGCTCTGCACGCTCTGCACGCTCTGCAGGTCCAGGAAGCAGTTCGTGCTGGCGACCTCGCTCTCGCTCTCGCTCTCGCTCTGGATCACGGCCATCGACGCCATCCACGAGCGTCGCACCACGTAGTACCGAATGCTGGCGCCGCCCAGCTCCGCCGGCTCTGCCCACTGCACGCGCAGCGAGGTCGAGGAGAGCGCGGCCACCTCGAGGTTCTGCACCGCGCCGGGCGCGACGACATACGCGGCGAGGGTGATGGGAGAGGAGGCCTCGGAGAGGATGGAGCACGCGGCGGAGCACAGCGCCACGCGCACCCAGTAGGCCACGCACGCATCGAGAGAGAGAGAGTTCGGCTTGCTGGACGTCGCCCTCTTGGAGGAGCGCGTCGGCGGCGAAGA